GTCCCGTCTCGAGAATCTACAATCCCCTTCAACGTTTCTCTCCCTCTCTCTCTCTCTCCCTCTCTCCTCTGTTCTATCGAGTCCCCGTTCTCCGTCCCGTTCTCGCGTAAGTGTGTGTTATATAGGACCGATCAGCCTGGAAATCGCATCCTTCTCGAGCGAATTTACAGGGGAAAGAAAGGTTGCGTGTAAAATAAAATTGAGAAGAAGAACGAACCGTGATGAGATCGTAGACGAAACGATCGCGAGGACGAGTCGCAGTGTGCGAGGTGTACACAGAGCGTGCGTTGAAAAGAGAGCGACGATGGGTCCGTAGAACCGCGAGGGCGACGAAAAAAGGGGCGGGGGGTGGGTGTAAGGAAAAAGGCACCCCGACTTAAAAGAAAAGGCGGGCGGCCACGAGACTCCCGCGCGGAGCCCAACGTTTCGCCTCACTGCCGGGCTCACTGCAGGCTCTGACGCACCAGCCTGCCGCCCCCTGTACGCCGCCACCTCCGGCATCCCCCTTCCGAACACCCCCGACTCCCCTTACTATCCGTTACTACCCCTTCGACCGCCCACCTTGCTTCCTACCCTCGCCATCTGGCTCGTTGCCTGCATCGCTGCCTGCATGCCTGCCTACCTGTCTGCCTCGCTGCCTGACTACCTGCCCCCGCGTTCTATCCCTTCCATTTTCTACCGAAACACCGCCGGCCCACACGGCCCAAACCTACACCACCACCACCTCTGGCTAACCATTGCGAATTTTCCTATTTCTCTCTCTATCTATCTAGTTGGTTCCTAGTACCAACCCTCTCTCCTTCTAGTATGTCCGCCCGTGGTAACTCTCGTCGCTCTCCCGCGATCAAACTGGAGGGTTTCGTGCCTGTGTGCCGCACAGGCGCACCCACACAGACACTCCACACTGTCGTTCTTTCGGCGCACACGCGCACCTAAGGCGTGCGGAATACCATGCCAGCGACCGGGATACCGGCGCACACCTGCGCCGTGCTCTCTCCCCTCTACCACCGAAAACCTTCTGACCACCATACGCGTTACTCCCTCCTCCATCTCTTGCACTACTGCTCCTTTCTTTCTGTAATTCCTTTTTACCTGTTCCGTTTTCTTCCCTGCTCTCTCCTTCGTCTTACGTGCACCATTTTCTTCCCTGCTCTCTCCTCCGTCTTACGTGCACCATTTTCTTCTCTTCCTCTCGTTTCTTCTTCTTTTTTTCTTTCTCTCTCTCTCTCTCTCTCTCTCGTCTGTTTCCTTTCATCGTCCCATTTCCACGGCTTTTTTCCCCCATCGCGTTCGTTTCTAGCCACGTCTTTCTCTGACAATGAGATACTCACGGTGTATTTCCTACGTAAGTGTACGCCGCTTCTTCGTTAATTTCATCTTTCCTCCCTTATTCTTCTTCAACGCGGACCTGACGGTCACGCTACCACCACCTCCGTGCTTCTTTTAGAATAATTGTTCTCGGTAGAGAGAAAGAGAGAGTAGCCTGTTACATTCGTCCATTGTAGTTAGCAGTCACGAATGATATGAATTCGTGCAATTAAGAAATTAATTTTAATTACCCCTGGAACATTCAAAGAACAGCGTCGAACACAGCTACTCGTCGCGTCTTATCACGCTCGTAACGTTATTACCGTTTCCGCCAGCTTCGTCCCCTTTTGCCATTTTTCTACTTTAGTTCTTTCCCACTCTCGTTCTGTAGGGTATACCGCGTGGAACGAGGAGATCGATCCTAAGCGTGGATAATTAATCTTCGTAGAAAATAATGATGGAAGATACGCTACGATGGATGTTCAATCGGACCGAATTCGTGAGCAATTCGTACGTGAAATACGGTTTGTTATCGAGTTCGATTCGGAACGTTCGCTGTTCCCCTCGCTGTATCGTGGACAGAGTGGACGAAGTAGCCTCTTTCTCTTCTACCTTTGTCTCCGAGGCAGATGCGTTGTATTTCCAGAAGCAGCAGAGTTTTCCCTGAAAGAAGATCGTTTTTTCGGTCAAAGAGCGCCCAACGGACGTCATAACTTTATGCAGCGTTGGAACAGAACTGTAGAGAGAAAGAGCGAGCACAAAGGAAGTGTCTACGACGGGAGGGTCCTTTATCTTCGCTAAGTAATCCCGTTTAGAGAGATTAATCGTTGGGCGACTTTTATACGAAAAGCTCGATACGAAGAATAACGCTGGCGGTGCAGTGAAATCGGAGCGGCGTTAAACTTGCATGAAATAACATTTCCGCGAAGCTGCGGAGTACGTAGCTGCATTCGGTTTCGCGATGCCGGATCGCAGATCACCGATACGAGTGATGCACCTAAGGCGATGCTTTTGCCTGCCGCTCTCAGAGGAATCGAAAAAAATTAATTGAATTTAAATGGATACCAAAAGACACACAGCTACACAGCCGCTTCTTAATAAACCCTAATATCGTCTCCGGGAATAAACGAGAATATTCCGCATATTTTCTCGCAAACGGAACATCACAGAGAGAAATTTAACAAACGCAATTTCGCGTTTTGAAAACAGATGAAAATATGGTCGTGACACGGTTGGAAAAGGGGCAATCACCTTGATTGAAAATAGCTGAGAAATGCAAGTAGAAATGAACGCGATTGAAGAAAAAAAGAAAATAGCGAAATCTCGTTGTTTGCAATCGAGGTAACTTTTACTCGCGGAAACATTGCGATGAAATTATTCATAGAGAACAGCGCGGAGGGTTCCGGGTTGGAAAAGTGGCATTCGCCAGGAACGTTATCGCCAACGACAAGAAACTGATCCAAACTCAGAACCGCTAATAATTAAGCACTCTACGGCAGAGGGTAAGAGGCACCGAGTTGGGAAACGAGGCGAGCCGCTTGTTAAGTTACTTACGCCTGCGGTTTTTCAATTTACCAGACCCGCAGAAAATATTCCCTCAATTTAACCAACCATTTCTGGTTTAAAAACTGCTCCACGGTGCATTCCTCACGCCCCTTCATTTTTCTCTCAGACCCCAACGATTATCAGCGTCGACGTTTACTTTATCACAGGAGAAAACAGTTTGAAGCTTTCGAAAAGTCCTCGTTTCATCTCTTCACTCACATTCTCTACAAATGACGCAATAACTCTATAAATTTGCAACATTATCTCCGTTACGTCACAGACGTGTTACTTATTAATTTCGAATACATGTAACCAGAGATTTGACCCACGTGGTGTTCACTTAGCTTTCGAGATTCTCTCCGAGAGCAAGTGGCTCGTAACATACCGTAGCTTTTCTCCTCTTCGAGCTTCTACAGGTGCTCGATTATCGACTACACAGCAGAAGAAACGTGGAGAAAAGTCGGCCAGCTGTTCGAACGGGACGGTGTGTCGTAGCAATTTGTCAAGTTGGATTTTCGACTGGCGAACGATAGGCTGCGGGACGATAGTCTAATCAGAAGCAATTCGGAGTTATTGCAGGGGGATTGTAATTTCCGGGAAACAAGCGCTTAATGTGGCGCAGCTAGTTAACATCGGGCTGTGACGTCGCGTAAATAGGATAAGGAACTTCTACTCACCGGAGCCTGCCGCTTCCGAACATCTACCCACCGCTTTTAATCAATCTTTATCTCCACGAATCGCACCTCTCGATTTTCGTTACCGCTTCTTGCTGCTGCTTCGATCTGTACGCCGCTGGTCAATTACGCATTTTCTACTTTCGATTCGATTCGATTTCTATAAGATGGATTGTTGCTCAATTTTATTTGCGATTTTTTTGTCATAATACTTGATCAGAGTTTAGTTTTGTACTACAACTTGTACGAAAAATTATGTACAACTAGAGATTGGGAAATCTTGGAAATTTTTTTTCCGATTCGAAACGTTTGATATTATTTGCGAGGTTAGATTTATGTGAGAATGTTTGTATTAATGATATTTCTACAAGTTGAAGTCGAATAATGATAGCAGTTAATGTATTTACCTCTGTCTTTTTCCATTGTGCAGAGAAAATACTCTTGGATAATGACAGGAATGTCACACGTCCATTGCGACGTTCTACGTGCAAGTTCGTACTTGTTTGGCGCCAATTCTATACGTCACGTACCTCGTGAGTCATACGTCATTCCATATTTAACGACATGTTCAATTTTTATTTGAAATTAGTCTTCATAATTTATATTGTTTTTGGCAATAAAATGAGAAAATAATAATTGCAATAAATCGAAGGTAAAAACAGATCGAAAAGTATGAAAGGTTACGAGGAATATACGTCTCTTATTAGAGATATATTTCGTTCGTTATTTTCGAAATTAAGACACTAATTAAAACGTTGATTTAATTTTAAATAGTGCACTAAATTTTGATTGAAACTTCAAGTTTCATAATCGTATGATGTTCATTAAAACGGAATTGAATTTGTATTCGTAATGTTGTATGATTCTTTACGTCAAATATGGGCGCCAAATTTGAAATTATTCTTCTACCAATGCGTAATAATTCATCGAAATAAAAGCAATAAATTGAGGGAAGTAACTTTTTTCAAACTATGTAGAGGACATTGAACACTTTAGATTAAAAAATGATTCTAAACAAATTGATTTAAAGTGTTGTAATTTTATCGTTGCCATTGATTTTCTTGGAAGTTTTCACTATTTTTAATCCTGGTATCAACATCGTGTACACAGGTAAGAGACCGGAATGATTTGGTCCAGTTAATACGCGATGAGCCGGCCACTTACGGTAAATATAACAAAAAATAACTCTCGTTCAATACCGCAACAGCAGGTACCTGTACGTAGCTACATTAACACAAACATAAATGTTTCACCTTTCATAAACCTTTACGAGCTTGAATTTTTTTCGCTTCAAATGTTCCGGACAATCGGAACAATTTACCACGATTAAAATTGGCGATACTTTACATTGGCGATTAACACCGGCGATATTTTTGTAGACACGAAAAAACACCACACAAGGGTAGCTAACAAATTAAGTGTGTAGTTTATTTTATTTGTATATATAAATATACATGCAGCAGTCATGAAAGAACTAAATTCGTGTAGTATGTTTGTATATACTTATTTACATATATAGAGAATATGGAAATTATAGTAGCCACAATAAAATTCGAATATTTATGGACCTTTCTGTTCCACATATTGCGAGGTTTCACACAGACTGCTACAACTGTAATTCATGAATGTACCTTCTGACAGTATTCAATGCGTCTAAATTCATTTCCGGAAGTTACCTTCGTACCAATCATAAATATATAAAATTTCGACTCAACCGGGGTAGAAATAACTGCATATAAATCAGTAGTCCAGATCTGCTTACCTTGCAATATCCTTACCGAGTACCTGATCACTGTACAATAATACAGAAACTAGATACTCAATACAGTCGGTTCTGTTTTACACTAATAACAATAGGAAATACAATACATTATTGACAATTGCGTTAATCGTGCGTGGTAACGGAAAAAGAACAATATGAGAAATATTTATTGAGATCAATAGTCCTGTACGGAGTCGTAATTATTGTAGGGAGGGGGATCTGGACGACCTTCTGGAATTCTATACTTCTCTTCAACTTCCTGGTCATTGTCATCTTCGTATTTTACAGCGGTAAAGTATGATCCAGACGTTGAGAACGTATTGCTATAATCAGGGTAATCTGAAAAAAATTTTCATAGAAAACATTCGTACCCCAAACGAACCTAGAACTGAAACAACTCTGCAAATCATTGAAAAAATGTATACCATCCAAAGGTTCTTCTTTAATTCGAATTTCTTTCGTGTCTTCGTCTTGACGATCACCCCGATCTTTCCTATCTCTACGTTCGCGATCGCGATCGCGCTTATCTCTCTTGCGATCCCTGTCACGATCACGCTCGTTACTCCTGGAACGTCTTCGCTTACGATCCCTGTCACGATCACGATCACGATCACGGTCCCTTCTGTCTCGAGGTCGTTCGTCCCTTTGTATCTCTTCGATGTCAGGATCAGGTAAACGATCGCGACTTCGTCTACGCTTTCGATCGCGCGACCTACTTCTCGACCTTCTCTTACGATCACGTGACCTTCTACGTTCTCTGTCCAAACGATCGCGATCTCTGTGTAAACAAAGGCGTACAATGTCAGTGTTTATATACAATACGTATATTTCTTCGAGGTTAGGAAAAGGAAGAATGAAATTCACCTGTCTCTATCAAGGCGTCCAGAATTCTCCCTCTCCCGTTCTAAACGGTACCGTTCCCGTTCTCTCTCATTATCCTCCCGACCAGAATGTTTAATGTTTACATCAGGTCCACCCCTACGCGTCCCTCCTAGTCCACCGCCGAGCCTTCGTGGAAGCCATCCTTTGACAGTCCTAGCCCGTTCCACGTCGACCAACACTCTGCGACCATCTATTTTCTTACCATCCGCATGCTTATAAGCAGCTAAAAGTACCGATTGAAAATTACCATTTGCTCGGGTTCCAACCCTCACTATTTAGTACACTATGAGACTTCTATGTCCCAAGGAAATAAATCTGAGGTGGCAGAAAAGATTTTATAGTATATTTCTCTGAAAAAGACTTCAATCTTTTTTAGATTTGAACAGTGCGAACGCCGCGACTAAGAAAACACCTTTTTTTTGAAAGGAAGAGAACAGACGATCGATTGTAGATATTATTTTTTCTGTACGAACCGTGAAATTACGGAAACCACGTAACAATGAAAAGTATACAAACACGAGGTACATAACAACAGTCCGAGAATTAGAGTCCGAAAAAACACAAAAGAGATAATACGGAAATCGAGTATATCGATCGATATGTACTCGCCATTGTTAACCTACGTGCGATTCTTTTTTTTTTTACTCGATATTTTTATCCATTAGATATCTTCCAAACTAACGATCGTTACGTTTGTCTTTTTTTTTTTCTTTCTTTTTTTGCTTTTTCTTTCACAAAGATGATTGAGGTCGTAAGGTATCGGCACATGTTATTTCTGATTATGCACGTACTGATTATAACGTGCGTTATTTTATAAAGTAAAATGCGATAGTAAGTACCATCACGTGACAAAATTCCTCGAATCCGAAATCTGGTCGATGTTTTGCGTTCGCGGTATAGTGCACGAATGATGAGACTATGTTTTTGCGTTAAAGCGTACACAAAAGCGACGAAATGAACAGCGGATTTACGTTTGCTAATATAGGTTACTAAAAGAGAAGTGGGTCCTCGAATGCCTCTCCGTGATGATCATTTTACCGTATAAAATCACAGCACTACGTTATATTCGCGGCGCATGAATCAGTAATAAAATGTACGGATTTTTCGTTACCTTAAATCTACGTTTGTAAAGTTCAAAAAGTATAGCAGATACAAAAATACCTACCGCGGCTACTTACGTACGGAAGTTAACACAAATCTTAGAAGTACGTTTAATCGTGAAATGAACTTGTAAGAGACTCGCGAGCATAGAGTAGGCCAGCGCGTATGCTATTCATTGGGAAGGTGCCCAGTCTTCATATGTTCGTTCAATCTCCGAAGAAGTTTACTTTGCGTTTACCTGGTGCGCTTTTCTTTTTTTTTTACTTACGACCAAACCGTGCGCAAGTATCGTATATACTTTATACTTTTATATTGTATTGTGTTCTAATTATATATTAAATTTAACGTAACGTTAAGACAAAATTCTTTTCTCTTTGATCAAATTGATACCTTTTCTCCTTTTCTCCTCGTTTAACAAGGGAAAGTAAATTTTCCACGGGAAAACATTCACCTTTTGAACGTACGCGAATTATTTGCTTTTCTATGCACACTTTCCAAGGAACTGACTGATTCGAGATGAAAGTCCGAGATCAAATTAGTATTCTATATCGAAATTGATATGTTCAAGGACTTAAATGTAAATAATCGATTGAAAAAGAATGATCAGATGACCTTCCGAATAAGACGGTAACTAGCTAATTTAAAAACTTTAGTAACAAAAAAACGAAAACAGCGGCGAAATAAGATGTTTGAGAAACAATAATCGATTAGTTTGGAACATGCATTTTGGTACTAGACCTAACGAGAAAATATTTTGTCAGAATCCATTATACGGTGCCCGACATTCGCATGGTACACGTTATTTCTTTTCGTAAATTTTACGTGAGAGTAAAGTTGACCTATGAGCACACAATAACACACCCTGTATAAGAAAAAAAAAAAGTAGGTGCTACAACCAAGACATGATAACGTGTGTCGTATTACCCAATGATTGCGCAATTGTTAATGTAGTTTTAAGACGAAATGCGGTTAAATTTTGCTGGAAGAAATTCGAATATTTCCTACACATATATACATATAGCTTGATTAAGATACTTATAGTCTACCTTTTTATGTACAGGCGCAAAATTTAACTGCTTGCAGAGCGTGTCCCTGAACCTTTCTCCTAAAAGCCCACCAATCAATTTCAATGTAGAATGCTAACTTTTGTAAACCGCGCAGTTAAAAGAATAAAAATAAATTTCAGCCCAAAATATGCATCGGAATGAGTGTCCTGACACCGAGCACTTTAAGAGTGTGGCCACGACTATCAGCTACCCCTCGAAGGGGTGGTACTCGAACCGCAAGTTCAACAAAATCAGACAAGATAAATAGGGTAAGCATAGACGCTAACAAACGTTGTTGTATGTTGGATCTTACCACACATACAAACCTATCATATCAGGCAGGTTCAGGGATTTTGCATGGAATAGTGAACGGCACTAGTTGCCGGCAGCGGCCACCACGCTGTACCAAGAACAAGATAAAAACTGCATTAATCAAGACAGCCAATATTTCTTTTTTCAGTTGATCGTTTACCATATATGCATTTACAGAATGGTAATCCTGCATGGATGTATGGCGGGACCCCCCGTACCGTCTGGTTTAGTACCAATGAAAATGGGTAGCCTAACTATAGCCCTGCCCCACTATATCTAGCTGGAAGTGACGCTAAGTAAGGTGAAATTTCCAGACTATGGACTCACTGAGGTTCTCAAGAAGGGATTACGTTGCTTGGGTTTTACTTACAGTGCATATCTCTTTCGTGCTCATACTCAATGAAAGCATATCCCCTAGGCTTCCCATTTATTGTATTGTGAATTACCACTATCTAAAAAACATATGGAAGAAACTTTTTAGTACATCAAAGAAGCTTAAAACAGTCATGCATTCCTGATACTTGCCTTTTTTACTGGACCATATACTTCAAATTCCCTCCTAAGTTTAGACTCAGATGTATCGTAGTTCTAAAAAAAAATATAAGGAAAAGATAGCGAAAAAGTAAGATATTTTATTATTACAGTCATATGGATAAACGTATCTATAAACAAAAAAATACCCACTATTCGAGCTACAAAAAGGGTTTTGAAAGGATCTGCTGTTACATTTGGTATACCAGCAGGATCCCATACCGCGATTTCTTGTTCTAATTTATACGCCACTTGCTCCGCGCGCTCTCTTCTTCTACGTTCAAGACGTTCTTCTCTGGTTTCCACGCGTACCGGTGGCGGTGTGTCTTTGGGATCCTATTGAAAGTATACGTTATTCCTTCGAGAAATTGTACGGAATGTGTAACAGAAATGTCAATAAGTTGTACTTGAGAGTTTTATACGTTTTCGTTACTTAAAGACGGAAAATTCAGAAAAGAATAATAGTGTATAAAGTTATATTTAAATTTTCCTTACCTCGAAATATTTAAGGAAAACTCCAACGCCGATATAGCCTCCATTCTTCTTCTCATGCGGGAGCTTGCTAACGGGTGGTAAATATGGTATAGGATCCCGTGGAGCAAAGAGGGCTAACAAGTTTGGTGGTAGAAACTGCGTCATTTTCTCAGGTACAAGGTGAGCGTGACACTAATTCTCAGTTCTCCAAATACATCGAAACAAACAGCATCTTCACCTCTTAAACACCACTACAAAATGGCGACAACGTTGCTACCAACTTGTAGTATGAGAAGCCTGTACCGAGTCGGTAAAACTTTACCGAACGGAAAGGTATTCACCTCGTACGCATGCGCCGGAAAACATCATCTAGGAAATACGCATATACAATCACTTTTTGACAAGCATCACTACGCGTATAATAAAATTGAAAATTCATCGATCGTAGAAAATGGTAACGAATTTCCTAGTATAGCACATGTACGAAATATATGCAAGTCAGTAACATGAATGTTGTATTGAACCGTTAAAGGCTTCGATTATATAGAAAGTTTTATCGTAACGTAAATCAATAAGTTTATCTATAACAAAGTTTAATAGGTAAGTAATAAAATTTGTATCTCCTACCACATAATATTACACGCAGTGCAATAACATATTCTACATAAATTTATAATCGTTAATAATACTGAAAATTGCAATTAAAATCAAAGTTACCATTCTTTGGTAACTCTTTACGTAATCGTAACAATTACGTATAAATGCGCAATTGATCTCGTATTTCAACACAACGAATTAAATTCGAAAGCTCTTCGTATATAAAATAGTTATCTTTTATTTAAAATTTTATCTACATTAACGTTTGAAAAATTCGATTTTTTTACTCAATTGATAATTGTCCAAAATCACGTAAGATGTCTCTAGTTGTACGTAAAATCGGTGTCAAATATTAAAAGTACGAAACTCAAATTATAAATAACGAAAATTGCAAAACCGTTAATATATCGTTGCAGCATGTTATAAAATTATGTGATTTAAAATACAAATTTTAAAATTAAGTAAAAAATGTTCGATGAACTCTCTTATGGTAAGATTTTTGAGATTTATAATAACTTCCAGATGGCGCCACCTGTACGTCATGCAATTTTTTTTAGTACGACACCAAACGGCGTAACAGTACACCATTAATGCTGTATTAACGTTTTCGCGGTTTAATTATCAGTATTTTAGCAACTTTCAACCAAAATCTCGTTATCCTTCCACTAAAAAAGTGTACCGTATCTACGTCACGCTGAATTTCACAACAGCCTCTAAAAAAATCGTGAATACAATTATGAAATTTGATTGGTCTTATTGTATCTTATAACACGCAAAGGGTACGGAATAAATTCGATCGTATGGCTGCCATGACGTCATATCCGTTTGTTTAGGATTAGTGCACATACATGTTGCGATTAACTCGAGCTACACGGTGAGAAACATATTCACGTTTTCCTTTCGTTACGCAGTGTTTTGTGAACCGATATACCAAACGTTTTTACCACCGCAAATTATCCTACGTTTCGAAAAGTGCAAAATACACTATGAGAGACAAGGTATTTTTCTAACGTTTCCATTTTTACCCGTTCGATTAAGAAAGAGGTTAATCGTGCTATTCTTGAAAATCTAACGGTCGTTATTATTTGCGCGAAAGCGCGAACCGAAGAGTTAGAACTTCGAAATAGACGTTTGTTTTATGACAAACAAAATTTCCCGATAAGATAAGCGCGTTACATCATCGTAATTGCACTGCAAGTACACTCCTATGCCCGTGGCGTAGCAGCTCACGCTAGACTTTGTACTTTCCGTGCAACAATTGCCAGATTTAATCTCCTGGAGAATTTTCAACCGCTCCATTTCAACGTTAATCCGAGTCGATGTTAAACGTTGCACCGCCTTCGATGCTGCAGCTTTCCGCGTCTAGCAAACAAACAAACATTTTCAGCGCTCCTCGGAACACGTGTACCGTCCTAAATACCAATAATTCCCTTTCCCTTGCATCATGCCGCGTTTACAACAATTACAAAATCGCGTTTCGCAGTTGTTGAAAAGCAAACGGGTGGTGTCGTTCGGTGGACGGAAAATTTCACGCGTGCATCGCAGTCGAGCTTACATCATCGTAATTAAAATACAGACAGAAATCGCGCGAGTACGCAGGCAACGGGCGAGCGCGTATTTCTGTAATACGTCGCCCGCGCGCGGACGCTAAAATAATGTAAGATGGATTTGACTTTCGTCCAATATTCAACGGTGTCGTATGCGTGCTCACGTTCAGGCGCTCGTGCGTTCCGAATAAAGAATGCGATGTGCGGACTGCATCCATGCCGGCTCACGCATGCAACTACGCGTGTGTGTATGACTGTGTTTGCGTGTGTATACATCCGAGGGAGCGGTGGCAAGCGCGCGCTCACGCTTACGACTTGCAAGGTATTTCCCAATCGGTCGAACGATTCGCGTGAATCGTTTGGTCGCCCGATTCGCGTAATTGTCGAACAATCACGCTTACGATTATTCGCCAGTAATAACGCTTTTGTTTAGCCGTGATTGTATAACGCGTAATTGCCGCGTGATTATTGTCGAACGCATATCCGTAAACGCTGATTATTATTCGACTCCGCTGGCTGATACCGCCTGGCGTAATTACGCTCTCTTCGTTACTTTTTTTTCTCCTTTCAATTTCAACGATTTTCGTAATTATCAGTACAACTAATCGAAATACACATCGCTCTCCTAACTTCGACGTGCTCGTTTTGTAGGTTATGTTGTACACGCTTAACCTATTGTTCCACACACCGTACGTTCGACATATTTTCAACCGTGCATTATATCCCAAATATTACACGTGTTCATCGATTCCGTAAGGTAGAACGTTCCATCCGTTTCCAGCCGTTCTCTTCAAGTTCGACGATCCCGCTATATAAACACTCATCCCAATAAATCTCCACGCGGTTAGCGTACGCCGCTCGAATGACTAACATCGAAGAAAGCGTCGTCGGCTTTCCCAAAAAAAAAGTAAGAAAAAAGTAAAAATCGTCCGGAAATTTCCAACGAGGGCATCGTTGCATTCGATGCACGCAAGTTGGGAAACGCTGATGCAACTCTGCCTGGCAAACGCGTCGAATATACATACGTATTGTATGTATATACATATATATATATATATGCGTCCGCGATATTCACCGCGAATATTGGCACGCATCGTGTCGTCTTTATCAAGCGTAGCGGCGACCACCGCGGTGGTGGCGCGAGTGTAGGACCTTCTAAGAAGGGTTGAGGGGAGGGGGTAGGTAAGGAGAACGAGAGTGGTGGGGGTGAAAAGAGAAGGACGAGAGCGGCGGGTGGTGGGGGGTAGAGGGACATCGATTATCGGAACGCACCCTCGCTGGAGGAAAAAGATTCGATTGCACGGGCATCCGCACAACTCGACGCGGAGACGTCGCGTCGTATGCCGAGCATACTTGTGAGAATGTGCCCGTTTCCCGGCTGCCATCTTGCTTTTGCGTGATGTCACGGCGTGGCCTACTTCCGAGCACTCCACGTGCAAGGGTCGTCGACCCTGTTCTCCTCTAGCCCCCTTTTACCTAGCCGCCTCGAACCACGGCTACGAAATGCTCTAGCGCTCCAATAGTCCTCCCTCGCTAACCCAACCACCGACCAGGATTCCTCGGTACCCTACTCTACTCTATCTCTGTCTCTCTTTCTCTTCCACTCGTTCGACCTTTTCCTCTTCTTCTTCTTCCTCATCCTCTGCTACCCTTCTTCCGACTTTCGTTCGCCATTCCCGAATCCGGTGTAACTTTCCCTCTGTGAGAGTTTCTCCACTGCTCGCTAATTCGATTCTTTCCTGATCTCTCCTGTGGTCGAATATTCCGAAATTTCTCGATTACAGAAATTTCGTCGATGTCCATTAATATCGCTACAGAAATTGATTTTCGTTTGACAGAGAAGGTAAGGTTGTTTCAACAGAGCCAAGCCCTGCTTTCATTTCTCGAAATTATTGTCGAGCCGTTCCCTCGTTACCTCATTCCGTTCGGTTCCATTGTGCACGCGCTTCTAATTAGGACACGTGCTAGCGGAGAGCTGTCTTTTTTCTAGGAAGATGTGCAGCCTTTGCTCTCACATTCCTGACAGAAAGCTCGGAAAATCTTCAACGGTTTTAATGGGATTTCTCGTTTTATTACAGCGGTGGCCGCTGCGAGACACGGAAGATTTCCCCCCCTTGATGGAGATTTCAAGGAGACGCGGGACGATCGAGGATCGAATTAGAGATGTCAGCAACGGTTCACGTAAGTTGTCTCACAGAAAATTTCCCTCGCTTTAATAGAATCGCTCGGATGTGGGCGGATAGGGGCCGCGATACCATTGTCCGTGCGCACCTGCCAGTCTTCGTATCTAGTCGAACTTCTTGCGTAACAAAAGCATCGACCAAGACAGCATTGTTCGTTCCACGTTTCGTCGCTTCTTTTCAGCTTGGAAAATCATCTCCCTTAACCCTTTCAGTTTCTAACAACCGCCCACCCACCCCTCTTTTAATTCAGAGTTACGCATCGTTCGAATTGGTAGCCAATTAAACGACGATTTTTACTATGAAACGAGAATGAAGAAAGTTTCGCGACAACGTGGAGTTTGTAAGTCAAGGTCCAGAATTTTTAGACTCCGGTACACACCTAACCCCTTTTATATCCGCACGTCAAGGGTTAAAATATCCTTACCTTTAAACTAAATTTACTCCGGCTAAAAATTGCCCGTACATCGCTGTATTTTTATTATGAAAACGTCAGATTGATGTACGGCGGAAAATGAAAAAATTCTGTAGGATTTCTGGAGGCAGTGTGAGCTGCGTAGAGGAAGTATGAAAGTAGTAGGTGTGTTGTGTGTCTAAAAGTGTAAGTGAAAATAGGTATGAAAAAGGAAGGTGTCAGTAGTTATTTTGTAATTTCTTCGTACATAATTTTCGGTTCAAGCAACGAGTTCAATTTTAGTATCTGCTTAACCTGTTTCATTGTGACAACGAGTCTGACTCGTGGCACAGATTTTGGTCAGAAGTATTTAAGTAGTGCACACATAAGCGTCCGCAGTCGGGCCCGAATGCGGACGCTTAAGTGGGGGGGGGGGGCGACTTCTGCGAATTTAACTAAGGAAAAGAGAGGAGATGTGCCTGAGTGGGATACCGATATATCAAGTGTCAGTTGTTCACATTCAGGAGTCGAACTCCACTCCGAAGTCCCATTTCCAAGGATTGCTGGGGATAGCGACGGACGCTTAAGTGTGCAAAATACGGACGCTTATGCGTGCACTACTGTACTTTGTTTCACTCGGCACGCTCGACCTCCACTCCGAGGTCCCATTTCCAAGAATTGCTGGGGATAGCGACGGACGCTTAAGTGTGCAAAATACGGACGCTTATGCGTGCACTACTGTACTTTGTTTCACTCGGCACGCTCGACCTCCACTCTGAAATGAGGGGAATATTGCAGGTGAACAATGTTTATGCACCACCCTGTACGTTTCGTGAATTTTTTACGCGTGCAAATAACACGGGTCAGAAATGACCCAGCTTCGTCAGTCGACAGTTCGTCAATATTTAAACCTTTGAAAATTTCCAAATGAAAAAACTGTGACATTTCATGGGTAATGCGTGCTCGTGGCGTGGCGGGAACGTAATTCCAAGTGTAAATAACGGAAATATTGCAGGTGGACGGTATATTTCATGAAAATTCTATACGTTGAAATAACACGGGTCACAAATGACCCAGCTTCGTCGGTCGACAGTTCATCAATATCTAAATCTTCGAAAATTTCAAATTCAAAATTTCGATAATTTATAGACTTTCACGTTTTGTATATAACATTGTTCCAAATTCTTATAAGTAACGAGAATATTCCAGGTTGGCAATATTTTTGCACCACTCTGTATATTCCACGAACCTTCTACAAATTCAAATAACACGGGTCACAAATGACCCAGCCCCGCCGTCCGACAGTTCGTCAATATCAGAACCGTGAAAAATTTCAAAGTGAAAAAAAAAGCTTGTAAATTTCACGTATTTGATCGTGGACGTATGCCGATGGCGTGGCAGGAACGCAGTCTGAGCGAAGGAAATTGGGAAATTCCGAATGTAACAAGGTGCCGTGCCTCAGTGTATGCACACAGAACGTGTAACTATGTTCACGCGTTACACACACGTACACAGGATGAATACACACGTTGCTCGGTGTTCCGTGTCGAAGCGAGAAGCGGTCGTACGCTTCACACTCGTCCATCCACTTTTCCCGGTGAGCGGAAGAATCCCGAAAAGGGTCAATGCTCGATTTACAGCGCTACTTTCAATCTTACTCGACGCGTCTCTTTTCCGTCGCTCTTCTTGGCTCCGGTGCGTTTCTTAATCACGTCGCCTCGCTTCAGGTTCTTCGCGTCTTCCACGCCTCGTAATCGACCCCGTCCCTCCTCGCTCGCTCTCCCCAGTTTCTCTATCTTTTTCTCTCTCGTTTGAATATTACACGTGTCCGTGTTGCTTTCGAGAAGAAAGAAGGAAAAAGGAAAGAAACTGAAACGGAAGATATTTATGGAAGCGGAGTTTTAAAGAATGCGCCGAGTAACGGGTTCATTCTGATTATCTGGAAATTCAGAATGACTTGGTGTATGCAAGTATCTAAGTAGAAGAAGTTGCTTGGATCGTTTTAACCCTCATCCGCGTCCCTCGTGTCAGTTTGACGCATTTTTCCGGTAAAAAGTTCTATCATTCGGCTATTTGTGGAAAAAGTTTTTTCTTTATTTTCTATATTCAACCCTAGTGCGTTCTTCGTTTTGACTGTATACTTAAGGTGTTTGGGTGAAAAATGATCTAAGACCTTATGTGAAACAATTTTTCTTTCCAACGCGACATATGAAGCAAGACAATAAACGTTTAAAATAATGTTAAGGAACGTAAACTTGATAACAGCAAAAGTGACTAAAAATATAAAAAGGCGGTGGGTCCAAAAAGACCCGAAGAGCGCTCTAGGGTTGATGAAAGAATTTACAAAATTTGCAAGAAACGCGGAAAATTTTTTATTTAAGAAAAACCACAACATACGTTATTATTAACACTAACGGTGAAAAACGGACAAATTACAGATACAGAAAACAGACGTTTACAGAAACAAGCGCCAGGCATCGAAAGATGTAAGAATCTTCAGATTTATTAGTGAAATAGTGCGATTTTCACAATCTTCACCCGTTTGTAGCTCACAGCGACATTAATCGATTTCGATGAAATCTTCAGCATGTGTATAATTCACATAGATCTACAAAACGTATTTTTTAAATTTTCGTTACAAGCTCAGATAAAAAAGTTGTAAACAGTGACCTTTCCACAAATTGCAATTTTTTTCCAAAAATTTTACACACGTCATCTAGTAAACCAATCCTTCTAACTTCTCAAAAAAACTCAAGTCGTTTGGCCCAATTTTAAAAAAGTTATTCCGTTTTATAGGGTGTACGAATACTTTTTACATTCGCTGTAGACGATTCGGGAAAGTTCTCGGTTATTCCAAACAAACAAAAGGGAATATGTTTATATCTTACGCGGTTCGAGAAGTTTCCCGAATGCTCTCGAAAGAAATAGAAAATTCCTTACAATTTATCTCTTCGTTTGATTGCTTTCTTACCATTGTGTCGAATTAAGGCCCTAAGCACTCGAAGGCCCTTTTTTCACGTTGGCCTTCAGGAGTTTTATCAGGAGTTGGTTCTTTCGAACTGCTGAGATCTCTAAACGTGTAGTGACCAATTCACGGAGGTCCATAGACCTGCTGTCTTGGATAATATCATCCTTAGAGTTGCCTCTGATGGTAAATATAATGTCGCTTCTTAGTCGCCTCAAAGAGAGAAGGGTTAAGATGCGAAACTGAGGGACGGACGAGGGTTAAGATCGATCGTAGAAATGCCGAGATAACGGTTAGGCAGACTGCAAGTCTGTATCGCGAGAATGGCTAAAAATAATTCTGGATGAATCAGTGGTTATAAACGACTCCGACGAATGTCGTCTTAATTTGTCGAAATGATCGAAACGTTGCACGATGTCGTAAATACGATTTGCATCTCGATTGTCTGCCATTGGGAGAGAGGAAACAAGGTTTACCTGTATCTTGTCGTCTGTACGTGTATTCCTATCTGGAGCGTCGATAAATCGCTGATTCTATCTCGACCACCGATAAATCACAATTGGCATTGCTAGGAAAAAAAAAGAAATTAACGCGATACAACAGTCGGACGATCGATCGTTCGCGCGAATCTTGATTACCGGGAAAACCTCTGAATTCTCCAACACACCGTTCTTAACCCTTTCGCCGCGGCTTTCGTGACTGACGGTGAATTTTCAACCGCGGCTGCAAAATTTCTTATTTCGGTATCTCGTTTCAAACGTCGGTTTGTTGAATTAAGATGGAAGTGCGCGAGGGTAAAATTGAGGGTTAAGTTAAGGTGGAAGTGCGGCGAACGAGGCTCCAACGACGTAGCGCGAGCAAAATTTCAAAACGTCTATAGGCGCCAATAGTAACGAAAGGGTTGATTATTAAGATGGAAGTGCGTAAGGATAAAATTAAGTGATAAATTAAGGCGCCAATAGTAACGAGAGTGAATTAAAAAAGAAAAAACAAAGAAAAGGAAAGGTGAAAACACAGAAGAGAAAGAGAAGAAGAAAGAAGGATCGAACAGAAAAGTTGAACTCAATTTCCCAAGCAAAGGACTCGAAAATCTCCCCGTTACCAAGGAGTGTCACGAAACGAACTCTTTCCGTATTGGATAATTAAAAAGAAAAAGCTATCGCATAGGTATATTTGGCCGTAGACAGGGTAACCTTCGATAAATATTCGTGGGAGAGGAGAGCGCAAATAGCCGGCCAAATTTGAGAGGCGAGCCAGCCTCTGACTGTTACGGAAATATCCGCGGTCTCCGGGGGTGAGTTTGCCGCGGTGGTCGGTCTCGTAAATAATTAGTACCGGTCGGCTAGATGTGAAAAGACGAGAGAGCGAGAGAGGAGGAGAACAGGGACGAGTGCGTGTGTGTGTGGATAGAAGGCGTGGTGGGTGTGATGACGCGAAGGTATCCGGCCTAATATAGGATGAGGACTGGAGGTTTCAGCGGAGCGAGGACGAGCACACTGGAAGCACAGAGAACTGAATTTTCAATGGTGGGGTTGGATCGATGGAAGGGTTGACCCAGTGACCTGGAACCTGGTGCGCCGGTTAGTTTACGAACTACAACCTCGATCAATCTGGAGGTGCTTGGATGTGTCCAATCGCAATT